GGATTAGATCGGCTTAGTTCAAGCAAAGATAATACAGAAAGTATGTTCCGAATCCTGATATTTTCTTACAGTAGTAGTTATATACACTTGAGAAAATGGTACATATTTTTTAACTATATATATATATATATATATATATATATATATATATATATATATATATATATATAAGTTATAATCATTAATAAAATTAATTAAGTTATACATATTAATAAAACGTATGCAATCTGCACCCTCGAAATGAAAGTACAAAGATTGCCACCTGGTGGTGCAAAGAGAAAACTTATATGAACTTTTTAGATCTGTAAGGCTTGAAGTTTACGCTGCTATTCTGAACCAATAATCGGAAACAAAAAGCAGTTGAAGGATGGCGTGTTTAAATCCATTATTTATCTGAATCCATTGTAACTAATCTGACTCCATTAAAGTTGTTATCATCATTGATAAAGGGAAAGAATCTCAATGTCTTAAAGCAGGTAAAGTTGTTTATTAAGTTACATGTTTAAATATACAGACATTAGAATGACACAAACTAACATACTGTATAAAGAAATTAGCTGTAACATATGCACTGCTGAGCAACAAAGACAGTGAAACTGCCTTTGTTAGCATATGAGGCTACGCACTTTTGTGCGAGAGATGCAGAGTAAAAGCCATTCTCCCAGATCAACAGTTATCTTTCCCTATTATACCCTGAGCAAAGCATTGTCAAACATGAGTGAAAACCAACCCCCAAAACCAGCTGAACATGAGAACAAAGTTGAGGAGATAAAGTGGAGGAGAAGAACATTAACATACCTTCCTTAGGTCATGACTCAGCAATAGTAAATATATTGTAGATTGAAATACAATTGATCAATTTCTCTGTTGATTTCATCACTACAACACTGAAGTCATAAACTGTCAAATGACACCAAACATGACAAAGTTATCTGAAGGTAGAACACAAGCAGATGAATTGTGTATGGTGAAGAGCACATGGTTACTGTAAGCAAATGGCAGAGATGTGTATCGGAGCTGTGAGGAGCTCTGCCTCACCAGGAGGACCCATTTCATGCTTGGAATGTCTCAGTAGTCCTTCATTAGCATAGAAGGAAAAGTATATCATATTTTCTCAGCTTACAGATCGCTTTAGTACAAATTGTGTATAATAGAAATGCACAATATGTGACTTTTTTAAAGCAATAATACATTTCAGCAGTCATAAACATGTTTTGATAGTTAATATGCCGGTGATTTGATGCTTCACAAAAGTTGCAGATGCCTTTACCAATATGAAAAGGCTTTTGTAAACAACCAGTTATTCTTTACACGATTAAAAAACGGCTACTATAATAAAGAAAATATTTTCTAAATGTGGAACTAAATACATTGATTTGCATTGAAATACATGATGAATACTCTTAACACATGAAAGTGTAAAGCCTGCAGCTCACAACAAATGTGGAAGGTTATTGCGTGTCATATTTAACAAGCCGTTTACTGCTAATTTGATGTACTTTTGCTCACATGGATAATTGAATATTAATCAGATGATGTCATTACGCTGCTTTGCCGTCAGCCAATCGTTGCATTGCTGATCATGATTTCGAGGATCGATAGATCTGTCCTTCACAACACACGCAGCAATCTCAGATCAGTTTATCCAGACATTCTAATCTGATTCGCGAACTTGTTTGAAGAATCAAATTAGCGAGAGATCAGTTATCAAGATTAAAAGATCCGGGATCTGCCAAATAATCTTAGATCATTTAAGCGAGGTACGAAGAACGGACCCCAGTACAGAGAATAAATAAATACAAATACTCAAAGGGTACAACAGTAAAAAATAAAATAATAGTATATATTTAAAAAATAATAATAATAAAATTTTTAAAAATAAATAAAAAAAAAACACTCCATTCATAACTATGCCAGGGGCAGGGAAAATAATTCAGCTATATACTTGCATTCATATTCACATACATATATACATGTTTATTTATTTATTTTTTTTTTTTTAAGGTGTAAGAGGAAGGGTTGCCAAATAGTGTCAACTTTTTCAGTATTACCGCAAACTGTATATCTAATCTTTTCTATTTGCATAGACTGCATCAGATCATGCATCCAATGTATGTAACTGGGTGGAGAAGGATTTTTCCAGTTTAGTGTTATGTGCCTTTTAGCAATTATTAAACAAAAGGCAAGTGCATTTCATTGTGTAGATGACAAAGAAACATTTGTAGGGTTAAGTCCACATAATGCTACTAGGGGGCATGGCTCAATATCTAAAAGAAAGCATTCAGAAATTGATTTAAAAATTGATGCCCAAAAAGTGCTTAGCGCTGGACAAAGCCAGAAAGTATGAAGAAGAGTGGCTGGAGCTTGAATTTTAGATATTTTTGCCTTAGTCCAATATACTTTATGCAATAATTTGAATTGTATAAGGGAATGACAAGCACAAATAGAAGAAGTTTGTACATGAGACAGAGCCTTGGACCATTCCTCGTCTGTGAAAACA